CGGTACTGGTTGGGTGTCCGTGGCGGGCAGGCGGGCGAGCAAGCGGCGTGGGTTTACACAACTCGCAGGATAAACGGGAACACAGGCGTAGGTAAACACAATGAAAGGGGACTCTTAGAGAGAGAGAGTCGAGCACAAATATTTAGCTTGACGCTTCGCCAGGGATTGTGGGGGGGGGGGCACAAAGGCTGCTCTGTTGTGCCTCTTGAAAAAAAAAACCCACCACAACCATCACCAACATCACAAATGATGCTTGAACAAGTCAAGGACAGACACATAAGTCACACACGCACACACACACAAGAAGAAACAACATAATGGCTCTCTGTTTGAGCGAAATGAACGGGCAATTTAAGCAGCGGCACTCAAGAACGGATCGCGGAGTCGCGGATTGCGACGTTGGCGTGCGGATTGTGCCAGGATCTTCGGGGCGAGCCAGGGCACGCGGGGGGAGTCTTCCATTCCGTCCCATCCATTCCACGTTGTTACAGGTGTGCTTCAAAAACAATGTGAACACTTCTGAGAATTTGCAACAACGCCACAAGAAATGTGCCTCCGAGCTCTGGAGACCACCTGGAGAAGATTCCAGGCACGCGTTGACAACGATGGCGAACACGTGGGAGACTTCTTCTTGGTTCTTTCGGTAAAGTCACGTAGAAGGGAAGTAATAAAATAATAAAATAAAACATTATAAAATAATTCTCACGACGTTTCGGCCACAACGCAAGCAGCCGTCCTCAGATGAAGACGGCCAGTGTAATTATTGAATGGCGGTGGGACACACAGACGGGTGGCATGCTGTTGGCCGCTGTGTTTGAGGTTTAACCGTGCGCATGGACCCGCTGCCAAAAGCAGCGGCGTACTTCAGAATAATTAGTTCCATTTAACAAAACACACGACGATCGCTGCAAATTTACAACCCCGTTGGCAATCGGGCACCGCTGTATGACATCGCTCGCCACTTAATTATATCTGTGGTGGGGAATTGCACTCGAGTTTCTGGGCTTAGAGCAGTGAACTAACCACTGCGTCACCGCACCACCCACACGTGTGTATGTGTGTGTGCACGCCTACGTAGCTCCACTGCGGATATATAATCCAATAAAAGCCCATTGAGATCTCAAGTTTAGTTTCAAAGGGGGGGGGGGGGGTGGTTGGGGTTGATTCATCCTGTATGCATGCAGGCAGATTGTGTGGGTACGTGTACATGTGTGTGTGTGATAAATGTGTGTATGCCTGGGTATGTGTGCATGTATTTGTGTGTAGGTGTGCGTGCCCCTGTTCTGTAAACGCGAGTACCGATTGCGATGTACAAACGTTGCCACTGGGGAGACAAAGGCGGCCGGGCGTGGTGCTGGCCACCCACCCCCTCGAGTGCCATAGCGGTCTTCTTAGGCGCTACTCGCAAACAGCACTTGCTCCAAATGTCTGTTGAGATTACACCGTATGCTAACGTGGACAGATGTGCTCTTGACCACTTTGTTTTTTATATCGGCCTCAAAGTGTTACACCCCATGGGAGGCCAACTTACGTGGTTAGGAGTGTCGCTTTAGCACGGAGAATTAAATAAAAGTGGAGCATTGGGCTGTCTCTGTCCTCTGACCACGACTCCCCTGTCCTCTGTGCATGTCCAGGCTCAATACCCTCGGCTCTCTCTCTCTCTCTCTAAACAGAAATCAATAAACACGCTCCTTTCCCAAGGCTGCCCACGTCCCGCTATTCGGTGCGGCATCTTTTGCTGGTCTTGCCCCAAGCTTGCATTCAGTGTTGGAAAAATGGGCCAGGATTTTATGGGCTTATGCAATTTGCACTCATGTATTTTTATTATTATTATTTATGAAGTGACCTGCTTAACTGTTCTCTGTTTTGTACGTCTATCGTTATTTATTGTTGTTGTTGAGGTGTTGTTGGTTGTGGTAACTCGCTGACCCCGTGCCCTTACTGGATGTCTGTGAAAAAGAGCTTTATAGCTAATCGGATTCCTCCTGCAGTCCGAATTCAGATTCTGATCGTCAGATGCGGTGGCATTTGGACGCTCTATAAATCCAATTTGTATTATGTCGAATAAATATAATGTACATCTGCCCATATTATTTATTGAGGGCCCATATATATATAAACACTATCTAGATTGTTTCAGTTGTAAGTGTAATGTTCGACTAAATTTCGTGCCAAATTTCAGCTCTTTTAAGCCCTTCATTCGAATCGACACTCACCCGCTCACTATCGTATTTGTGTACAGTGCATGTATCCCTCGCTGTATGTTGGACTTCTTTCGCGCCGTACTTAGCCAACGGCGCTGATCGGAGGTGCGATTTTGCGTATATGCGGATAACCTATTTCTACCAAAAAAATCGCTGTACGATGCGTTTTGAGTGCACTCATGATGTTTTGCTATGCGGCAGGACGTGGAGCGACATTGTGTGTGTGTGTACTGTGTGCGCTACTCAGTAGGCAGACGTCTCATACAGATGCACACACAGAGATACATAAATTCAACAGTGTGTGTGTGTGTTGTGTGCGTTATTCAGTAGGCATCTGTCTCAGATATACAGAAATACATACATTCGGTGTGTGTTTATTGTGTGCGCTACTAAGTAGGCATCTGTCTCAGATACACAGAGATACATAAATTCAACTGTGTGTGCGTGTACTCTGTGCCCTACTCGATAAGCAGCTGTCTCACACGGACACACAGATGCACACACCGAGATATAGAAATGCAAATGTGTGTGTGTGTCCTGTGCGCGCTACTCGGAAGGCAGCCGTCTCGTGCGGTGTCCGCTGTGTGCGCCCTTTTCTCGAAACGCGTCGACCGCATCGAGCGAAGGAGACCTTCTGATTACCCAATACACGTGGAGCCGTTGGGCCAACTTGCGGCCAATTTCTGTCCACCCACACGCCACCGCTGGGCCAACATTGCACGTTGAGAGGGTGGTATACCGTACGCGCGTGTGCGCGTGTGCGCAACAAGGCCGTAGCCATGGAGTCAACATTGGGGGGGGGGACCACATTTTTCAGGGGGTCTGGGGGTCCCCCCCCCCAAAAAAAATCTAAATTTGAAAACGAATTTCCTGCCTAAAATATAAAAAAATTCACTAACACATGGGATGGACTTTTTATTTCTTTTTTACAATCATGTCTAATAGTGGATTGTATTACATTGCTCTGTTTGTAACCTTTTCTTGTTTCATTGTATGAAATGGCAGAGATTAGCGATTAATCAAGTACAACCATAACCACAATCATATTAACATATTTTATCGCAATATATTGGGGGGGACGTTTTGAGCATATTTGAATATTGGGAGAGATGTGTCCCCCCCTATATTATAATTACGGCCTTGGTGCGCACACATCCCCCCCCCCCAACACATTGCACGTAAGCGCACACGTGCGCTCCCCAACGCTCGTACGCGATCGCGCGTGGCCTCGTGGTGCGCGCACCGCAAATTCAAGCCGCCTCCGAAAAGACACACGAGGCGCGAGACGAACAACCCACCAATCAACACTCTGCCGCCCTTTAATTGCAATCGACATCGGTCCTCCAACGACGCGTCGTTTGGCAAAAAAAGCAAAAAGTAAACGGCCACTCTGGTATCGTAGCGACCTCGTCACGGTGGTTCGATAAGACGTTATAAAAGCTGCCCCGGCTAATGGCTTTGTTGTGGGCGAGAGCAGAAGCAAAGCCCTGGCGTGGAAAGCCTTGGCCGATGGGACGACGGGACACTTTGTACAGAGTGCAAGTGCGCGCCAGAGAACCAGCAAAGCAAGAGCGTTTCGAGTCTTGAATAAAGAAGACACGCACACACACAAAAACAAATCTAAAGTCGGCAGCCCTGCACATTTATTGCCCGCACCATTTCCAGAGAGAGAGGGTTTCCACGAGACGGAGCTCCACTGAAAGAGGTCCCTCTCGAGTCTAGAGGAGCGGGTTCGTAACCTGGGGTGCACGCACCCCCTGGAGATGCCCTTTCTGAGAACCCAAGGGGTGTGCAGGCTGCAGCAAAAATGTTAAGAACCACTGCTCTAGAGGGTATTTGGGCCTACCCTTCCACCCCTTTAGCCACCACGTGCGGCCTTGCCGATCGACTTTGGTGTCGCCATTTATACTGAAGGGGTGGACAGAGGCGGACATGATTTTTGGAACGTGCCAATTGCTTCAACTCCTGCGCCGGAAGATCGAGTCATACCGGTGACCTCTGCATTAGAGGTCAAACTGTGCTCACCGTCACACACCAGGGCAAGCAAGTCTTCTTGAATACGGGCGACACTGACGCCTGAAGGTGGCAACGAGCCATCTTGCTCTGACTGCCACCAATCTTGTAAAGGATAAGTTTAGCACCGGTCACCACTTCGCCGTGCGACTCACCGCACCCCCGTCGTCTTGCACACCTTTTAAATCATCACATCACATCACACCTGCCTGGCTCTGTTAACACGAAGCCAAGGGTTGTGTGTGTGGGATGTGTGCAAGGGAATTCTTTAACTGGCTGTGTTGGATTTCGATTTAAAGCTTTTGTGACTGCAGGTATTCATCTTCTTGGTTCTTTCGGTAAAGTCACGTGACTTTACCGAAACAACCAAGAAGATGGCTGTGTGGACTTTAAGACTATATAGGGGGAGGGTGAACCTTCACAGCTCGGCACACTTATACATTAGATCCTGTAGAAAAAACCAAAATATCTACACCATTTGTGGGCACGTCTATTACACATTTGCATTTACTGCAAGGGTCCGTTCGACTTTAAACGAACCCACCACGGGATTTGCAGGCGCCACTTTGAGCCGGATTAAATGGCCGAAATCTCTCGCATCGGCCCAGGGCAAGGTGGCATTTGGAAAAGCCGCAATGGATCCGCCACAGACGCGTGGAAACTAGATTCGGATTTGTGTCAGCAGATGGCAGTTCAGCAAGTGGGCCGCTTAGCTTTGCATGTGAAATTCCGAACAATTTAACCCCACCGCCCCCCCCTGCCCCACCCCCCCCCATTAGCATAGTTTTTTTCTCAGAGATATCCACTTATTAACTCATAAGCAGACATGGCAGCGCTAAAAAAAGAATAGTACTGCCAAAGCATTCAAGAGCAGCATCCTCCTGAAAATAAGTCGCGAGACTCAGCCGAGGCTTTCGGTGGCGAGACAAGGAAAAACTAGGATTAATTTATTAGTAGTTAAAATACATTTTTATTTCCACCCCGATCCCCCCCCCCCCCACCTCCCAGCAAATCTTTATTTTCCAGTGTTTTCAAGTAAACGCTTTGTATTTACTCGACATTTCCCCGCAACAAACCAACAAACATCCTCTGCGAACAATGTTTTCCCAAAGGTTCACGTGGAACGGCATACAACTCTCCGTATACACTTGCGTTTATTATTATAACATAAGGAAGGATGCGAGTGCGATGTCAAATCTCAATATTATATGGGTGTACTTAAAAAAAAAAAACGAAACTCGAATAAAGCTTTTGGAAAAAAAAAAGTGTGTGCCGGTTGTAATACTTGAACGTTTTAATATAAAACGGTCCTTTCTCCGCACGTGTAATTATGTAAGTGTTGTCCCAGGCCTCATTTTGACATTCAAATAACAGCTCACCACCGTGATTATCATCATCATTTGCACCATCACCACTGGAGTGTTCCTCGCGGTCCGCCCCTTTTCCCTCCGCCGTTTGTTGATTTTTTTCGCAACAATCAAAATACCGCGTCGATAGACCCCGCCGTCGCCAAGTACCTGCACCGCCGCCCTCGTCATCACCATCATCATACTTCGAGAAGCAGCAGCAGCAGCGAACAACAGTCAAGCGCACCAACATTTAATACAGAGCCAGACAAAATAAAATACTAAATTAGGAGTAGAAAATTCCCCAAAACCGTGAGCATGGTTAGTTTCAAGGTAACGCACTGCACGAGCGGTACACACGCACACACAAAGATCCCCCCCACGTAGCCCACACAGGCAGTTGGGGACAAGTGCTGTTAGCGAGCACCTATTAAGGCCGACACACGGCGTGCACGAGGTGGGTGCGGCGAGCCCCACGCTCCGACTGCCGTGTCTTCCACCACCCCCCCCCCCCCCCCCAGTGCCTAACGTTTGCGCCGAGGCACCAGGTGCTCATTTTTTTGTAAGGCCGAGTCAACCTTGGGGGGGGGGGGGGGGCGAGACGCGCAGGGCCGGTTCGGGTAAAATCGTCACCACCTGTCAACCCGCGGCCGAAAATTGTATGCGAGTCGCGGGGTTCGTAGCGCGGCGTGCTCACCGCTGCGCCGCCGCTCCTGCGGCGCGCGTACAAGCACACACTCGACTATAATCTGCCTTCAAGAAACATGAGCACTTGCATCGGGCAGCGACAACCATTCCGCATTCGAAACGTCCTTCCGCGCGACAGACGCGAGCGTACTGGCCGCTTGGCGCTTGTCGGATCCAACGCGACGCAGCAACGGTCACGCGTAGCCGGCGAGCGTAAGGCCACTTTGGTCCGTGGCTTTTTGTGGCAGCAGAAAAGCGCCGGCGACGCTTCCCCCGGGGGTGACGGCCACTCCCCTCGGCACGTCGAGCGTGACCCACGCGACCTCTCCCCGTCCTCCTGCTCCACACCTCGTCCTCCGGCTGGTGGCTCCGCTCGCTCGCTCATCTTTCAACGTGGCATCAGTGCGGCAGCGGCGGCGTTGTAGTTGTCCACCTCCCTCTACCCCCCCCCCCCCCAGGTCGTCGATTCAGATTTTTCAAAAGTTTCGATTGGTCGGCTTTTGTGTAGCCTAGCGTTTAACAGCCAGCGTTAGGAACAGGAGGTCACAGGGTGTAAGGGTTTTGGTTGAGGAATATCTGTCAACCCCTTATAAGTGTTTACTTTATTACAGACCAATTAAAACCTTAAATCTCAACGTTCATCCTACAAAGTCTCATTACAAGGGAGAAACACACAAACAAGACAAAACTAAATTTTCCCGCATTGAAACGGCCGTACGCTGTATTGACCTGAAAACTCAATTTCCCTGTACAAGAATATGGGTTAAACCGTATGGGTTGACACGGTATGTTGAGAGCGTGGATACCGTTGGGCAGAGGTGCATTGTGACAAGTCACCACGGACTGAATACCCGCCGCGATTCGATGACCTGGTCGCAATCAGGCGTTGCGATCCTATTCACAAATAAATTCCTCGGTTTTTTTTCCACCACCTCTTTCGTATCGTTTCTCGATTGTTCCGTCTCTCGTTTGCACCAATCCTGTCCGCTCCACTTGCCTCAGTTTCTCCCCGGCGTTTTTCCATCGCGCACATCGCAAAAAAATGCGAGCGGGATCGTTCCTCTCCCACGCGGTCCCGCTGCATGTGTCGCGAGGAAGAGAATCCACATCACTGCACACATGCCCCACGTGTCGAGCTTGTGACCAGGCTTCCGCTATTGCTTGGATTCGCCCAGGAGTTCGGCCCAGGACTTAAGTTACGACTAGAATTAGGCTGATTAGTAGGAGTGAGGGCTATTGTTATGGTTAGGGCCAGAGGGCCAGAGTTCTGGTTTAGGGTTGGGTCATCGGGACTATATTAGTCAGGCTAAGAACAGTACAGTTATGGTCATGGTTCGGTTAAGGATTAGGATCACAAGATGTGAAAGAGACTAAGAGGCTACCGGTTATTGTTAAGGTTAGGGCCAGGGTTCAGGGTAAGGGTTCAGAATTAGGGCCATAGGACTAGAATTATGCTTAAGATTGTCATTATAAGTAGGAGGCTTAAGACTTGTATTACGTTAGTGTTTCCGCTTTATAGTCTATTAGTCCGTGTCCATCAGCCTGTCACCCACTCGCGCTGTTCCGCAAGTGGAGTGCTGCATTCCATCGCCACGCTTCGCCTGTGCCGACCTCACGACGTCTCACCACGGCCCCGGCGGAGGCGCCGGCTATGCGGCGACACCGCGGGATAATTGTTGTCACTGGACGCGGGGCCCAGGCGGATCTCCCCAAGTGCTGCTGTTAGTTTCGTGCTTGCACCATTTATAGGGCAATTTTTAAACCTTCTCCCCCTGCCAGCCGCCATGTAAAGAGGCAGTTGTTCTTTGGACACCGATGCAGCACAGAGTTCCCACACTCGTCGGCACAATACGCACCGCAGAATCAACGCAGCATCACACCACCGTGGAAGGTCACCGTGTGGGTTTTCCCGCTTGTGCCGTAACGGCTCTCCCCCCAATGTCTTTTCGGGTCGTTTCCGCGTGTCGCTCGGCTGCCCACGTCCAGACGTTTCGCTCCACACACTGCAGGAGTTTCCTCGGTGACTCGGGAGAGAGAGTCCCCCTGAAGCGACCGCCGAGCTCGAAATGCGGCTCCGGTAACGCGCAGGCGGGCGAAACGTCGGGGCATCGTGCACCGAGCAGCGCGATCCGGCGACGTTCTGGAGGGCTAAGCCACCGTGAACCACGACACGGCGGCAACACGACAACTTTAAGGCCGTCCACCTGACCCTATACTCCCCTTTTTTCTTTCGCGTGGCTGATGTAGATGCAGAGCACAACACATTCTCCCTTTAAAAGCCTGCGGGTGGCCCCGGAGGGTCTCGGGAGTTTTCGAGTGGATGCAGATTGCAAAATCCAGTCCTTGAGTAACATCTCAGGGTCCAACCTTGTCGACTTTCGCCAATCTTTTCCATCGAAGTATGGAAATCAAAGCCGCTGCTCGTGACGCGCACACCCGGTTGAACCTGGCAAAAGCGATATGGCTGGAATTTGAGAAACGTTCCCGACTTTGAAATGCAACGTCGGCTCAACGCTGTGCTCAGCAGACGCGGGGTTTTTTTCTGGAGGTCGACAGCCTTTGGGCCCCGTCAACGAAGGCCCCCAAAATCCCCCGATGACAGAATCCAAAGAAAAGTACGAGAAGTTGTCACCATAACGATGAAGCCGAGGAAATGACTCTTAAAACACTATATACACGTACGGGTGCCAAAGACAAGTGGCACGCAGTCCTCGGGGGGGGGGGGGGGGGGGGGGGGGCTTGTGCGTACGCAGGTTGAACTTCTTTGCGCACCGTGGCGTAGCCAACCGTGCTCATCGGGGGTGCGGGGGAAGGACACCAAACTAAAACACGAAAAGCCGTGCCGAAAGAAATGAGTTTCCAATGTCGATTTATAATGCGGTTAGGAGTGGCTGTAAGTGGACGTTGAATCCACAGGGTGACCGCCGTGGACTTTCCACAAAGTGGAAGGGCCCTCCTTGTGTTGCCTCCTCCACCACCACCGAAGAATAATGGGCCAAGTTACTCCCTCCCCTCCCAACCTGGGAATTTAATTTGCCAACAGTTACCCAGAAACAAATGTACGTATATGTATGCTGAACTTCTTTCGCACCGTACGTAGCCGACCGTTCTAATCTGAGGTGTCGGAGGTATGGGGCTGACTATGTAACAATGGGAGTGAAGTACGGTGCAGCGGTTAGCACATTGCGCAGAGTTCAATTCCCGGCCACGGCTAACATCAGTGGCAAGCAGTTCGTGTTTAGTTTGGCACCACATGGGTGCAACGGGGAAGGGGGGAAGAAGGCAATCAATCACAACGGCAATGGCGCCGTCCGGATCCGACGGCACCCGGTAACAACCTCCGGGAGGGCAAGTTCTTGCGAGTCCCATGGCTCTATGAGCGCGGAGAGTTCTGCCCCGTGGCGGGAGGGCCCCGGCCATGCAGGCCGAAGTCTCCTCCCCGGCACAGTGGTTCATTTAGTCCGCATTTTAGTCTCTTCCATATTCGTATGTCGATGACAATCTTGTGGAACGTTAGTCGAGTCGATGGCCCGTGGATTTAGCTCAGGCGTTAAGCGCCGACTAAAATCGACGGCAAACACCGTGTCTGAATTATGTCAGCGTTAAAAAAATACAAATTTTCGTGACTATATTAAATCCACAAATTCAAACGTGCCTACAATTCCGCAGCTTGTCGTCGACGAGACCCCGACTCAAAACACGAAGGTGCTGACGAAATGAACCCCGCTACATGGAGGCGTTGAGGAGGGCACCGTGCGCCGCAAACTCTGCACTCACTCGCCTCCAAGCCCTCCCCCCCACCCCCCTCCCCTCACCTCACCCAGGAGGAATTATTTTCCCTTTTACCCGAGCCCCGCTTGTCTGTCCGGCACCGATCATTGGGCCACCGAGTTGCATCACTTATTAGGGGCCGCTGCAGAATGGAGCGGCGGAATCCGTCGCAAAGAGCTCCAAACCTGAGCCTCCTCCACCCCCCCGCCCCCCGCCGTTTTTTAGCCTTTGACGAGGGCGGACGCTCGAGGGGGACTGGTGCCGTCTGCTGCTCCAGGATCGACCGTGAGCTACGACCCCGTACCAAGCGTGGTGGACAGGCCAGGCGTGGGTTAAAGAAGAAACCGGCACCGGTCAAAGTCAGCTGCCAGGTGCGAGAGTCTTGTCACGTGGGCTGCCCCCGGGGCGGCACTGCGGGCGACGTCACGCCTCCTGTAGGCCCATGCGGGCCACCTTGGCCGAGAGGAATGAGTAGAGGATGAACACCAGGGGCTTGGGGCAGGCCTTGAGGTCTATGCGCTGCGCGGTGTTGCACGCACGGGGAGAGACAGAAGACAGACGAGCGGAGAGAGAGAGAGAGAGAATCGGAGAGTTGGCACGCCATGAATGAGCGGTGGGTGAGGTAAGTTCACTCAACCGCATCTGATGTCAAATCCCTCGGGTTCTTTCACCCCAACACGAGATTATTATTTTGTTGCACCCTTAATTGGCGTCCGGTTTCACGGCGTGTAAATTATAAGCTCTGTCTGACTGTATACAAGTGCCGATACTGTACATGGCACGGCATTGCCGTTATTTTTCAGATTTACGCGAGCCCGTCGCCAACGGTCGGCAACGATAACACCTTAGGTCTGGTGATCTCATCGTTGTTGTTGTTGTTATACGAGAAGCCGTATAAAATGTATGTCATGAACACAGCGTGACCAGACAGCAGTGCTCGTTGGAGATGCACATTGGGATGACGGATGCGTTTCTCAAACGACTCTTTACATTACCACGTCCAGTGGCATGGCTGTCGCGTGCGCTGGAGGCTCCAACTGCACCAGCACCATCAAGAGGGGCTTTCTCAGAGCTTGCTGTGGTCGGAGGCCTATTCCGCCAGCAGGGCCGTGAGCAAGGCATTGCAGGGCTGCACCTTTACCTTTGATTACACATTCAACAGTGCTGTTTGTCGCTTCACGTGTGGCCTTTTGGTCCTCAAGGGCCAGTACTCGAAGAACGTTTTACATATATCTATTGTTTTTTACAAAAACATTTTTAAAAAAGGACATCTAACGCCTCCGCCTCCCCTGGTTGAGACCACCGAAGTCAAGGCACAGCGTGGAAGAGTAGGCCAAGTACCCTCCGCAGAGGGGGCTCTTGAGAACGCCCGCCGGTGGAGACCCATCGGCCAGCAGAGGCATGAGCAAGGCAATTGCAGGGGCTGCACCTTGACCTGAACGTTTCATTACAGCTTTTGACAGTGCCGTTTGTTGCTGACCGCTTGGCATTTTGGGGGGGGGCTCTCGGGCCTGCGCTTAGCAACAGCGAAATAAAAAAAAATCGAACGATAAACTAAATCGAAGCTATGTTTATTTTACCAGGTAAGGCCCACTGAGCTATGGCAGCTCTTTTTCCGAAGCGACCTGGCCACAAATGATAGCCCATCGAAGTGGCTTATCGCGTGAAAATGTATAGCAGCCGAAATACTCTAAACGCGTGACGTTGATGCTAAATGTGGAGGGGAACAACCGGAGGTCCCGGACAAAAATCCACGTGACCACAGGTGAAGAGAGAGAGACACGCAATCTCCAAATATACAGCAGCAGGCGTCAAGGGTCAGGGATCGAACCCACGACCTCCTGTGTACTGGGCGAGCTAGTTAACATCTCCGAGCCGCCGCGGCGCCCAAAGTACGTACCACCTCCCCCTCGTGGCCGCCGAAGTCGAGGCACAGCGTGGAGACGCCGTCGTCCGTGGAGCGGCGCAGGCGGTCAAATGGGTAGCTGAGCAGCACGGCCGGCGCGGCGCCCGGAGCCGCCCCGGGGCCCGGGTCCATAGCCAGGGTGAAGCCGCTCTCGTAGTGCACCGTCAGTCGGCAGTCGGTACCCTTCCACACGCACGCTGCGCCGGGACGCGATGCAAGGACGGCGACAGTGACGCCGACGGCGAACGACAACGACGACAATGAAGACGACGACGATGACAACGGCGATGGCGATGGACAATAACGACGATGACGACGACAACGATGACAATGATGACAATGACGACGACAATGATGACGACGATTATGACGAAGACGATGATAACAATTACAATGACGACGACGAAAATGGGGACGCACGAGGTGTTGATCGCGTTAATTTTTTAAACACAATGTGACGGGGCCGATCATAGCAACTCTCGATTATTATTATATCATGGTTTTGAGCCATGGTTATTGAGCAAAAGGTGATCACAAATTCACTCCTGCTACTCACTCACTGGCGGTCAGTCACCTTCAGCAGCATGTTTTACCTGCAACACGAATAATCCGCCCACGGATAACAGAGAGTTGACCACCGTGTTTTCTTACGAGGGCCCTTGGGCAGCGCACGTCTCTAGAGAACGATGACCAGTGGCCGAGACTAGCAACGGAAGAGCAGCCCAAGGAGTGGAACGCACCGTGGAGTTACATCAAGTGTTGCGTCTTGGGGAGACCTTCATCCAGCAGTGGACTGAGCTTAGCTGCTGCTAATGATGATGATATATGACCATTGTACAAGTCAGGGTTTCCCAAACTCTTACTTGTTCACCTGTCCAGGTATACCACCCAAACTTTCCCATTCAAAGGCAACATTCGTTGTCACAAGCCGCGCGAGCCCGACGATTGCTAAACGACAGCTCCGACATGATGTGGAGAGCACCGATTACAGTTCACAGCGCTCTCTGCATCACATGGGACGGACACGCAAGCGCACACGAACACACACACACACTCAAGATCGCTATCTTAATTTGAGTCATCGTTCTCTACATCATAGGAGGCATACGTTTATACAAACGCACACGCGCGTGCGAGAGATCTCCATCTTAATTTGAGTAATCTCCCCCCCTCTACATTGTGCGGAACACGCACGCACACCCAAGGTCTTTAAAGCCGACTTTTAATCCATCCTTCTCTACTTCATGTGGCGGACACACGTACAACGTCGATCTCAGATTGTAAATGCTGTGGCTTGGCTCTCCAACACGCCGGTGTGCTGTACTAGTAACGAATTGCCATGCTCCGTTTACGTGACAACCCTTACTAGTTGGCTGTGCCGGTCGGGTGGTGGCGGGTTTAGCGACACATTGATATATTTACAACAACAAAAAAAACCCCTCTATTATCAAAGACAAAGGTCCTCCGCATAGCCTTAAAATAAGACCGTTGAGGACCAGTGTCGTTTGGCAGCTCCGGTGACAGCCGGCACGGCACGCGAACTGGGTGGCGTGGCGAGCGACCGCGCGGGGCCCCCTTTGCCTCCCTCAGTGCTGATGTTTTGCACACACCACACCGAGTACTCGTTTTAGGCTGAGGCGACCTAGGGGAGAGACCCAGCACCGGTTCGGATAATTGTCACACGTATTGACCGCGAGCGGGAATTGAACTCGGGTCGCTGGGTTTCCAGCACTTCGGGACTAACCACTGCACCACCCCCGCTACCCCACACACGCGCACGTACGTACACACACAATCTCAAAATTGAATCGGCATTCTCGACTTTACATGGGGCACACACGCACACACACACACACGCGAGATCTCTATCAATTTTTGTTGTAGATGTTCTCCGTCGCATGGGGCCACCGTTTAACAAATGTGTGCAGGGCAACGACTCAATTGCTACTTGAACGTAAACGACTGGTGATCGCGAAGGGGTGGGTCTGTGGTGAGCCACGAGGAATGGCGTTTCGGCGAAACGCGCTGGGATTGACGTAGCGCAACCGAGGTGGCGTGCGACGACACACCTTGCTCGTCACGAGAACGGAAAACTAACTAATTTTTAAAAAATATCGTCGACTTATTCTGCGCGGCGTGGGCAGCGGTGGCAGCGGCGCGTCACTCGCTCGCTCCGTTCGTCCTCGCAGCAGTAGCGACGGTTTTTTGGCCGGCGTCCGAACAAAGATGGTCGCCGCTTCGTGCGCTTTCAGATGCGCTTCTGCGGATGTCTGCGAGAGATGAGGATGACTTTTACATAGAAAAAGAAATTACCAGGTAAGGGTCCACTGAGCTATACAGCTCTTTTTCATAAGCGACCTGGAAAAGAAAATGACAGCTCAACGAAGTGGCTCATCATTGCGTGGAAATTTAGAGCAGCCAAATACTCTAAACGCGTGATGTTCATTCTCAATGCGAAGGGAAAAACCGGAGGACCAGGAAAAAAACTCACACGACCACGGGAAGAACACGCAAACTAAAAAAGTTGCATGTGCGGAGAGTCAGAAATTGAATCCACGACTCCCTGCACACCGGGTGAGGTAGTTAACATCTCACCGCCGGGGCGCGCCCCCCGTGAACTGGTAAAAAGAAAAAGATCGCGACGAACGCGGCCGCCGCTCACCGACGGTGGCCTCGCGCATGAGCGCGGCGGCGCCGTGGCAGCCGTCGACGAGGAGGCGGCCCCAGTGCGCGAGGTCGCGCTGCGTCTCGACGCGCAGGACGTGCGTCACCACGCCGTGCGGGGTCCCCGAGCGCAGCACCAGGCACAGCTCGGCGCCGGGCTGCGTCGGAGCATCGCGGGGAATGCCGCCCTGCACCAGCCTGGGAGCGCACGTACGGATGTATGTCGAAAAGAGTGGCGAGCCGTGTGACGCGTCACCGCGGGCAGCGCAGCACGCACCACCGTGGCATGGGCGCACAGGCAACGCAACGGACATCCTCGCGGCGGCAGTGGCCTTTTGTCGAGCTATCGAACGAAAGGCGGTCACCGCATGGCGCGCTTTCAGGTGCGCTTCTGCGGGCGTCTGGAAAGCTCCACCGCTCCGATATTAGGAAGCCACTGCACACACAATTAAATTGTAGCAAAATTTGGCTTAGCCCTGCTTTTTACTGACACTGCTTTAAAGTATAAACATGTATATATATATTCTTTGGGTCTTTCAGTAAAGCCACGTAGATATAACAAATAATAAAAATAATAACAATATGATATTGTTATTTATTTATTTTTAATATCTTTTATTTGTTCTATCTACGTGGTTTTACCGAAAGACCCAAAGAATATGAATTCCTGCAGTCACGAATGCTTTAAGTCAAGATGTTTATATATAAAAGACATTATTCGGGCAATGGCAGGAGTAATGATACTTGTCGTGGTAGTCATTGGGGTGGTTGTTGCGATAGTAGTACGAGTAGCGATCGTCCTGCTTATGACGTTTGTAAAAAATGATAGACGTGGTGGTAATGATCGTCTTGGTCGTGGCGGTAGTAATGACAGCGGTGGTCACGGTGGAGTTGGTCGTTGGTGGCGGTGGCAATGAGAGTCGTTGCCGGTGCTCACCGCGTGGCGAGCAGCGGGTAGGTGCGGTAGGGCGCCTGCCAGCCCTCGCGCGTCGTGGGCAGCGCGTGGTACAGGAGCATGTCCGTGTCCGTCAGCGCCACCAGCGTCGGACGCCACGTCTGCCGCCCCGTCTCCCCCGTGATCTTGCGTGGGGAGTTTGGGGTCAGGGGTCGGGGGTCATGGGGTCAGGACAGGGCTCAGAGCACGTGGGGGGGTGTGACGTGTGTACGCTGAACTTCTTTCGCACCGTACGTAGCCGACCGTGCGAATCGGCGGTGCGGGGGAAGGGCAACAAACTAAACACAAAAAGCGGGTTCTAAAGAAATGAGTTTGCGTCCGGTGCGAGGGCCTAGAAGGGTCGTTTGTGAGCAACTTGAGCCGACGCGAGCACGACGATTCCCAGTTCGACCCCGAACAACGAACCAGCAACCCCGAGCTCCTCCTGGGTTCATGTCCTCGAGGGCCTGAGCGTCTATCTCTCCTCGTACACACATGCAGCCGTCTGCGTCAATCTCCGCTGCTAGATGACAGGCCTCCCTACGCCGGCCGCGCGGGTCTTGGGGGATTCGCATAACTTAATTCATACCGGGCACAAGTCTGGGGTGCAGTCTTGCTGAGACTAAACTAAAACAAAACTATTTTATATTTTACCAGGTAAAGCCCACCGAGCTTCATAGTTATTTTTCAGAAGCGACCTGGCTGCCACAAATTATAGCTCAACGAAGTGGCTTATCGCGTGGAAATATATAGCAGCCAAATACTCAAAACGCACGTCGATTCTATGTGGACGGAAAATCTGGAGGAACCGGAGAACAAAAAACATTGCGACTACGGGGAGAGGGAACATGCAAAACCCACCACCTCCTGTATACCAGGCAAGGTAGTTATCATCTTGCCACCGTGGTGCCTTAGAATTCACAGAACATGGTAAACACACATCCACAGGAGAGACTGAACAACTAACAGAGCTGCAGCACAGAGCTCGCTCACTCTGCCACCCCCACCACCCATGTGGTCCGGGCCTCCTGATATAATCTGTGTTTACATTCCCATGCGAGGAGGCTATACGGCTGCGGAGGCGGCGGCAAGCACCGGACATATTTCTGGAAGTGGGGGAACAATAACAAAAAACACGGGGGGAGTAGTGGAGGGAAAGACCCGCATGGCAGGAATAAAAAACCGCTAGCACAATGAGCAACAACGGATAGGAGGAGGAGGAGGAGGCGGCGGCGGTGGTGGTGTGTTATTTGCTTTAGGAAACTTGTAGTTCGTTTAAAAAATAACATTATTTTAGTGGACAACCCCTTTGTAGGCCCACCACTTCGTTTGGAAGGCTGCCCGCCCGCACCCCCCCGCCCCCCCCCATACCGTGACGGTCATGGGGGTTTGTTTGACCGTACTTCACCGCACTGGTGAGTGAGTGCCACGGGTTGTTGAAGAAAAGGTAGGGGATGGGGGGAGGGGGGGAGTTCAGGACCAATTCAGAGCTCACTCGTCAACAAACGTCGGCCGTGGCCTGGGAACCGGGCTTAACTGACCAAAATAAATATTTATATAAAGGGCGGCTCAGATAGCAATCTAGAAACTTCCCATCAAAGCGAGGGCGGTCCTGAAATTGCAACCACCTTAAATAGGGGCCCATACATTAATGATCAAAAACCTTATCTGGAAGATAACCATATAACAAAAATATATACTTTTCACGTGCCAGGTGACCAATGGACTCGGGAGACAGGCCACAATACAATTTCAGCTCGAACAGCGTCTATAGCCGTGTGGTGGTGGCAGCTCCGCTGCACGGGGCTCGCTGTAATCCAGAACTGTGGTGGTAGCAGCGAGAGGTTGGTGAAAAACTCCCCTTTCCCGTGAGCGTCGAGGAGGTGACCGCACCCTGGCTCGCCCGGAGAAGGCGGTACAGCAAAGTGCGTGCTCTCATCTGTCCCGTCTGTACGGGATAGAGCGTTGCCCCCTCGCACTCGTGGGGTTTCTCCGCACGTGGGGGTTCTCTCCGGTTGCTCCGGTGTTTCTCAGAAATGTGGAAATACCACATTTAAAGCTTTCGTGACTGCAGGGATTCATATTCTTGGTTCTTTCGGTGAAGTCACGTAGAAGGGAAATAATAAAATAATACAATAAAGCACTATAAAAAAATTCTTTATTTTATCATTTCCCTTCTACGTGACTTTACCGAAAGAACCAAGAATGTGGAAATACCCGTTAATTGGCCTGAAAACATTGTCATATATAGAGGACTGCAGAGCCTGGGCATTTGTTGGTAGCGGCGGCTCACAGCCCAGCTGCTGCCTTCTAGCTTGCCTTTTGTTCCCCAGCCATTGCGGCATATACAGGGTGCTTCAAAAAAATGTTAACACGAAAACGTTGCCCCAAACAGAAAAAAACGCGTCTCGGGCCACAGCCAACCGCGGCACACCGGAAAATGAAGAAACCATCGCCCTCCTCCCCAATCTCGTCTCGTCGCTCCCCCCTCTGACCTGCTCAGCGAGCCAGCCCAGGTTGGCGAGCGCTCGCGAGTGCAGCAGCCCGCCGTGGTGCAGGGGCCCCTCGTTGGCCTCGGCAACGGCCGCCGGCACCAGCGCCGCCGTGGCGGCCCGCAGCGCCGAGAACCAGGAGCTCGCCGACGCCGCGTCCCTCGCGCGGAGCACCAAGCAGCGCGACACGTCCGGAGAGTGAACCTCAATCAGCCTGCGTACACGGAGGGCGGTGGGGGGGTTTGGAGGGGGAGGGGCAGGAAGGCAGCACAACATCTTCAATCAGCTTGCTGAGGGGGGGGGGGCCAGCACAACACATCCGGCGGCGAATGAACTTCGATCGATGATTATCCACAACGGTTTTTGAAGGCTTCAGAATCAATATGAATCCACGCCAGTGTTGGTGTCGTGGTCAACGCGCGATGCACTGGCCCGGTGTCTATCTCCCGGCGCGGCGGTTGAAAGCAGTGGGGCAAGTTTTCTTAAAATCTCGGGTCGATGGGCAGGTTGGGGGTGTGGTGGGGGATGAAGTCTGTGGGTTCAGGTAACATTTTTATTAGTTTAACCTCGTGGGAATTCACCAGATTTCATTGCCAAAGTGACCCCGGGTCGCCGAAATGACAAAAGCGATGAAATAAAATGAAGGTGTGCAATGAGGCAAATAAGAATTCGGAGCTACAGAAGAAAAAAAACCAACCGAACGCCACCTTACACCCGCCACCACTCCTGGCCATTGCGGCAGAGCAAACCCAAAGATCACTTGGAGAAGGCGCTACTTCGAGCTCCCTCTTGTGCAGGCCTTTCCACCAGCAGTGGAGTGAGGAAGCTGCAAGTTTTGACTCTCTACCCCTATGGCCCCAGGCAGCCTCTTGTCACGTGAATGTGGTAGGTGAGGTTTGGGGGGGTAAGGCAAGGGGGGGGGGGTGCTGAATAATTATCGCGCAGCATTCTAGATAAAGAGGACGGGCACTGGAAGCGGTTGCGGCGAGCGTCCCAGCAGGGTATTCGAGCGTCAGAGAAACGAAGCCCTCACCGGCGTCGGTGCACGACCCCGCGCGCGCGCCGGCACGACAACGCGACAAGTGCAGCTGACAACACAACAATGGCCAACGTCGCCGCCGTCGTCATCGCCGCCGTCAACGGCACACCACCCCCCCCGGCGACGTCGCAACATCGGCGTGTGAATGGCCCGGGTCCCGTCGATGCGTTCGGACGTTGGCACCGTCGCCGTCAAACGCAACCCCCCCCCCCCCCCCCCCCCACAGTGGATATTCGACCGCTGTGGCCAGTGCTGGATTAAGCTAGTGCGGGGCCTGTAGCATATGTTATAAAAAGGCCCTAAATAAAAAAAAAACACCACGTGAATATTCAAACACAATTTTTTAACTTGCGTAGTAAAGTAATTGTATTTTTTCAAATGCTATACAGCCAGATCATACGACAAATCTAGTCGTTCATAAAAGTTGAAGGCAGTATAGTACTATAGTAATAGAGCAAGTGCAGAACCACTGAACCGGAATTGATAGCTTGAAAGCATTTAGCGCGGGGCCTTTGAAAGTGCAGGGCCCGTAGCTACTCCACATGTAGCTACTACACATGTAGCTACTTTTGCTCCTCGGATAATCCGGCACTGGCCATGGCCTCCTTGTAGGTTTTGTGCAGCTGGCAGTCCGGAGTGCTATTCCAGGGGAGGTGTTTCGGCCCCACGCAACGACCTCGTTTTGTGCCCCGTCAAACTGCGTCTATGCACCCGACCTTTATAAACCAATTCTCGGGATTGTGCGAACGCACGGTACAATAAAATAGGATTTCACCTTGTGGACAGGTGTACCTTGTAATCTAGTGGCAGTGCCTTACACTGATAATCCCAACTTCCAAGTCAGCTTAGCAGGGTTCGAATGTGAAGCCCTAGCAATGTCTATCTGTGCGTGTTGAGCCCCTCCTATCAATCCACTGCTGGATGAGGGCCTCCTCGTGCAGGGCACGGGGGCTATTTGGCCGTACTTTTCCACACTGGTCAGTGCGCGTAAGCGAGCATATCCATGGAGAGCACAGAAGCAGTGTCCAACAACGAATGTTGCCGCTCCGCCCTCGACTTCCTCCAACACAACCCGCGTCACGAGGGAAGGTCGCCAGGCCAAGCGCTATCCAGGCTCGAACCTGCTGAGCTTCCGAGATGCGACAATGGTCGGGTGCATGCCGGGCGATTTGGCGGCAAAGGGAACCGGTGATTGTACGCGACGCATATTTCATCTGGGGCTCGCTCAGCTGCCACACATAAACGAGAACTGCTGCTACACCCCCCTTCATTCACACTGTCATCATTTCCTTTTTCTTTCTCCTCCCGGCCGGCATTCTTTTCTTTCCAATCAAAGGGCTTTCATTAGCGGTTGGCTCCGATTCACCGCTGCCTCCCTCTCCCACTTTGCTCTTCAGTATCCGAACGCTAATAATATCCCCCGGGCGAGCGGGCGGGCGAGCGACGCGTCACGCTTTGTAGTGTGCCATCTCAACCGCGTGCGCGCGAGTGCGTGTGTGCACGTGGGTGCTCACGCGTGTGCATGCGTGCACGTGCGCACATGTGGGTATGCACACGTGTGCGTGCGTGCGTGCGCGTGCGTGCGTGCACGTGCGTGGGTACGCACGCGGCGGTGCAGCGGTTGGCGTGCCGCACTACGAACCCAGGCCAGCCAAGTTCAATTCCCGCTCACGACCGATAATGGTGGCAAATACATGAACCGGTCTTGAGACTATCCCCCTAGGTCAACTCGGCCTTAATTGAGCACCCAGTGTGGTGTTTAGACATCAGCAATGGAAAGATAAAGGCGGCTGGGAGTGGTGTTGGCCACCTACCCCTTCGTACGCTGTTCCGACCTCAAAGTACTTGCCCCAACAGTCTGTGTGAGCTACACGGGGGATCTTTGTCTTACGTGTGTATAGGTGCGTGCAGCCTCAAAGGCCATGCCACCCACTTGCGCTGCTGTGCCGCCCTTAAGAGGCGCTTCAAGGAGTGTAAAAGGCCGATTGATGTTATTTATTTACCAAACAATCCATAACATCACCAGGTCAGTGTGTGCCACTGTCGAGAATGGAAATCCGGTACGATTCCAAGCAAGCGCCGACCGAAGAAGCTGACGATGAAGCCTGCGACGCCGGGCTCAAGATGAATGAGCACTACGGTGGCTAAGAGATGTTAACTACCTCGCCTGGTATACAGGAGGTCGTAGATTCGATCCCGACCATGACGCCTGCGAGCTTAAGTGTCTCTCTCCCCGCGGTTGCGTAAATTTTTCTCCGGATCCTTCCGGTTTTTCCCTACACATTTCGAATCAACGTTACGCATTTAGAGTTCTTGGTCGCTGTAAATTTCCACACGATGATAAGCCATCTCGTTGAGCTATCATTTCGCCAGGTCGCGCCTGAAACAAATAATCGTGGCGCAGTGGGGCCTTGCCTGGAATAATACAATTGTTTCGTTTTCAGTTTAGATTAGAACCGAGGTCTGTGGGTTCAGGGGGCAGCGCACGGACCGCTCCACTCTCACGAGGTAGCGTTTATTTTATCGACCCTGGATGGTGAGATTGAGAGACCCCAAAAAATCTGTATTATGGAGTCAGTTGCGCTTCCGAAAAACGTGGACTTTAACTTGCGGCCTTGCCATTACGAGCCGCGAGCTCTCATCCGCTGTAGCAGCGAGCTCGATAAGAGTATCACACAGCCCCACGCAAACAGAGGAAGCAGTGTATATTAAATAAATAAATATCTTGATTCTGACTTGACTTTGCTTTGAAGGGAATGCACTCGGTTGCAAACGACACCGTGAGGCACAAAGACCGATCGCCCCACTGCCCACAATTCAAATAATTGCCGTGACTTGGGAAGTCAAGATTCAATTCACGAATGGATTACTCTTTGACAACATTTGTTCCGTCTCCGCTCGTGTGACCTCTGAACGTTCTCTGAACGAATGTCAGAATTTCTTGATGCAATTATTTGAGGCCCCTCCCCCGCCAAGCATTGTGTACAACCGCGGCCCTCCGACGCTTCGTCAGGTCGTGCCGCGCGTCGCTCGGCGCCAAGTGCGGGCGCGAGACGTTAACCACCTCGCCTGGTATACAGGAGGTAGTGGGTTCGATCGAGACCTTTAACGCCTGCTGCTGTATATTTGGAGGTTTGCGTGTTCTCTCACCCCATGGTCGCGTGGATTTGTCTCCGGGTCTTCTCCGGTTCGAGACTACTTTGAGGCTGCTTTACATTTCCACGTGACAAGCCACTTCTGTGGTAGTCAGGGTCGCTTCTGAAAAAGAGCTACATTGCCCAGTGGAGCCTTACCCGGTAAAATAAAAAATAGTTTAGTTTAGATGTCCGACGTTTCGCTCCGTGTGCCAGGGAAGAAGCCACCCCCCCCACTCCCCCGAAATAAAAATTTCTCCCACCCGCCCCCCCCCCCCCCGCCCGCCCGACCAACGGCGTCTCCGCGAGCGAAACACAACGCCGCGTGCCTCCGACTCACCTGTTCTCCAGGTCGGACATGCTGAGGTTGCGCGCGACGTAGCACATGCGCAGCGCGATGACGCGCCGCTCCCCGCCGTTGTGGCGCTGGCCCCCAAGCGAGCCCGGCGAGCCCGGCGAGCCCGGCGGCGTTCCCGGCGTCGTGCCGTGGCGGAGGTCGACACGCGCTTGCCGGGGCGACGGCACATCGCCGTCGGCCCAGTCCACGTCGGAGAGCGGCGACGCCTTGTGGAAGAAGGCGGAGAACTCGCGCATGTACTGGACTGCAGCCACGTGCAGGGGGGGGGGGGCAGAGAGGTGGAGGGGGGGGGTCAGCAGGGTCAGCATCGGGGGTATAAAGACGGTCACCGCGCATCGCGCGCTGTCAGATGCGCTTCTGCGGCCATCTGACGGACATGGTGGGATCTTGCAGTGCCCGTCACGAGGCGCGCTGCAAGATGCGACCAAGTCCGTTCAGTGCTCGCCGAGCCGCACTGGCTTTCGCTTGCCGAACGGACACATTATCAGGTCGCACTCGTTACACACAAAGTGCTTGCCACAAATGAACCACGACACCTCGCTGATCTCGTCAAGGAGCATAAACCATCACGCAAACTTCTCATCATCATCGCAGCGGCTATCTAGCTAACCATCGAACAAAGACGGTCATCGCATCGCGCGCTTTCAGATGCGCTTCTGCGGCCGTCTGGAACGCTCTTCCTTCCGATATCATGAAGCCGCTGGAGCTGTGCATTTTTAAATCATCTCGATTGAAAACTCATTTCTTTAGAGCTGCTTTTTGTGTTCAGCTTGCTTTCCTCCCGCCGCACCCACGATTAGCACGGTTGGCTACATGCATACGTAAAGATAGTGTCGATGACGATGATGGCTTGGGTAAGTTATCGCGTGGGATGGACATCGTCCTGTCACAAGTGCACAGCAGGCCCGTGTCTTCTGTGCCAATGACACGCGTTCACTCGATGGGCTCTCACCTGGCTCAAACGTACCATACCTACCAACTTACACTGCTCGCCTGTCTACATACACAGGTGCTTGCTTGCCTGCCTCCCCACAACATGGATGCATCATTATCAAGATCATTAAACGATGAGCATTTTAAAATCACGACTCTTGAGGTCGCCTAATTTGTGGCACTGCAGGATCACTCGCGCTGTTATCATCCCAGCAGCAGATCCTTCCCGCTCATCCAAGACCCTTGCCCCATGTTTTTTCGCGGGGACACGGTCCCTGTGAAATGCTGCCAAGCTCCCTGCAGAGCCAACGTTTCCCAGCGTCACGTTATTCCTTTGAAGAGACGCGGTTTCCTCTAAGCCCGTTTAATCAACCACAAATAATATCCGTCCATTGAAATCACGGCGTTCCATTGTATGTTCTGCCTCCGCTATCAACGAGGTCCCTCCCGTCCCCGGTTTTCCACTCGGCCCTAACTGCACAAACCGCAACGGGCTTTTTTCCCTTCTGTATCCCAGCACTGTAATCGATCGTGGGGCCTTGCCCACATTCTGTCAATGTGCCAGCATTGTAGTCTTTTAAAAAGGATTTTTTTAAAGTGAGTTACGGTATATTGTATTATTATTATCTGCCTTTAGTGGCCAGCGTAGAGGAGTAGGCCAAATACCCTCTTAGATGGACTCTCCAGAGCTCCCTCGAGCGGAGGCGTTTCTACCAGCAGTGGCAAGAGCGAGCAACGGCGGGCTGCACATTTGCTTTCATCTTCACCATTCAAAGCATTCAAGAAAGAAAGATCCGTAGGCTTAGGTTTTCAAAAATTGACTACTATATTTTACCCAAGAATGTCAGTGTGTAACACGCGTGACGTCACTCCACGTCGCCCAGCCCCCCTCATTAATAATCATGAACAGGTGACGTCCTCCAAATGGACACCCCCAGCTTCATTAATAATAATTAGCGGGTGACGTCACTCCACATGGGGGGGGGGGCGAGGCCCCTCTTCAACATCAACTTACAACCCTCACTACAAAGGCGGAACGCTCACGTCACGCGATCTCCGTAACGCTGTTGAAACATCGAAGTAAAGAGGACGTCATGATGAACAAGGGATTATAGCCATTAAATGAAATAAGTCTGTGTCACCACGGCTTTACAAACTGCCCTTGAATGGATGCAATTAATATATCACGTCGCTGTCTGCTTTTTGTTTGCAAGTTTCAGATTTATTGCAATACACCCGTCCTTGGACGGGCAAAAGGCTTGTTATATAAATACAACTTTGACCAACCATTTTGGGGAGATCTCAAATAGAAAATGCTGGAATTATTTTTTATCCGATGCCACATTTGTACTTATCACCCCTCACAAACTTCCAGACGGCAAATTTTGTTGGCCTTGGTTCAGAAATGAAAAAGTTAAAAGTAAAAAAAAAAATCCTTTGACGTTTGGGAGGTCAAAAGCTACTTTAGATTAGTGGTTTTTTTCTACTTATTTTTTTAATGTTCAATCCGTAGACACCCATTGAACATCATAATTTATATCAGCCGCTCATGACCATTGCACAATGTTTTTTTAGAAAAAAATCACAAATAAATTCCAGCCATTCTCCATCCACTGCTCGATGAAGGCCTCCCTACACCATGTCAGTCACTGCTGTTTATTTTCACCATACTTCACCGCACTGGTCAGTGTGGATATATACACACGAAACAGTTCAATATATGGGAAGCAGCAATGGTAAGCAGCCTTCTTCATCATCACCTATGAGCCAGTTATCTGGAATCCAATCGGAACCAAGCTCTAATACATAAACGGGATTAAGCCCTTGGTGTCAGCTTAGGGTGCTCTGCATGCTGTTATGAGCTACCCGTCGGAGGCCATAGGACTGCGAGGGGGGCGGCGTAAATAACGAGAGAGTGAGCGAGAGAATGAGCGAGAGAGAGAGCGAGTGAGAGAGAGCGAGAGAGCGAGCAAGCGAGAGAGTGAGCGAGAGAGCGAGCGAGAGAGCGAGCGAGAGAGCGAGTGAGCGAGAGAGCGAGCGAGCGAGGGCAACATAAAGCCCCGTTTTAAAAAAAAAAAAAAAAAAAAAAAAAAAAAAAAAAATTACGAAATGATGACCGAAACAAAGTGCCGAATACACCGAGCATCTTCTTGTTTCCACTGATCGTAAAAAAAAAAAAAAAAAAAAAAAGGGTGACTGAAGCTCAGGTTTTTCTCATCCAGTAGGTGTCAAAGAGAGAGGGAACTCTGCACAAAGAGGGCAGCAGTGGCCATTGCAGCGACGTTGTGTGCTGCCCCCCCCCCCCCCCCGTGAACATCGGACCCCCCTCCCTCCCCCGAGGCCGCCAATTATGCGGCTGTGCCGAGAACGTGCCGCCCGATCTACACCAACCCACTAATGGCCTCCGCAGATCGGTTAAAACGTCGGACATCCGACGCAGCGGACCGCGCTCCCTTCAGCAAGGGGTTACGCGGAACGAAAATTAAATGGGCTTAGCCGCCGTCTCCTGCACGGCCAAACGACGAGCACACGGGAGTGGCGACGAGCTCCATGTACCCGGGCGAGCCCGATCTCGTCAGACCTCGGAAGCCGAGCAGGGATTTTCGGAGCCTCGATAGTCGGTGTGCAACGATACAACTTTTGTTTTAGTTTTTACATGTATATATATGTATACACACGTGCGATGATGCACACATCGTCGTGAGCTTTCATGCAACGGTGCCGCCCTGCCGAAGCTTGCACATGCCACTCCACAACGAGGTCGAGATTGATTAATCGATGGAATCTGTCGGGTCCTCCCACTCCTCCTTCGCAGCAGCATCAGCAGCAGCATCAGCAGCAGCATCAGCAGCAGCATCAGCAGCATCATCAGCAGCATCAGCAGCATCAGCAGCATCAGCAGCGGCGGCTCATCTCGGCGACGGCGCCAGTCGCTCATGCGGTAAGCTCCGCACGTGACCTCCGCGCCGAAGAAAGTCGCAGCGCTTGCCCGTAAATCCGAATGAACAAAAGCGGGAGCACCCGCCGGCCAGCGGCCTGCCACCGGGACACCGTTATCTACCCTCCGACGGCTGGCCATCAAACAAAGACGGTCGATGCATCTCACGCGCACGTTCAGATGCACTTCTGCGGCCGTCTGGAACGCTCTTGCCTTCCGATATTAGGAAGCCACTGGAGCTGTGCACTTTTAAATCGTCTAGATTGACCAACTAATTTCTTTGAAATCGCTTTTTGTGCGTTAAGTTTGGAGCCATTCCCCCCCGGACCTCCGATTAACACGGTTGGCTACGTACGGTGCGAAAGAAGCTCAACATACATACATACATACATAAAAAAAACACTCCTTCAGAGTGTCTCCTGCAGCTTGTCCGGTTTCCTCCATCCCGTCCGCCTTGCTGGCGAGTGCGACCTTTGCCGAGCCTTATTTCTGGATCGTGCAAAACTTGAACGAGGCGGAAAAGGTCACGCGCTGCCCGCATGAATAATCCAGGAGGCTTTTTGCCGACCCCCGCGGCCAAAACCAACTACGGTTCCTTATGTTCCGTCTTCTCAGCCAAACGTGGTTGGCAGCTCACATTTCCTTTTTCCACGTGACTTCCACTCGTTGCTTCTTCCCTCGTCGCATCCAAAGTCCCCCCGCGTCACGTTCCGCCTCTCGTTCTCTCTTCTGCCCTGCAACCGTCATCACCATCTGCCAAGCCAGAAAGGTAGCTGGATGCTCTGTGAATTATCGTCTTATGGGGGCGTCACAGTGGCGAGATGTTAACTACCTTGCCTGGTATGCAGGAGGTCGTGGGCTCACCCCCCCCCCCCACCCCTTAAAGTTTGAACGCAAGGACGAGGTCTGAGCAACACGCACGCGTAAACGCCGCCACGTAAACGCCGCCACTTAAGCGCCCGCGGCTTTGTTTGCCGTAGCGCCGGCGTTGCGTTTTCCCCAGCTCCTCGGGAATTGCCCGGTTCCAACGAGAGACCGACCGAGGACTAAGGGGGGAGGGGTGGGGAGGGGGTGCCGTTTGCTCATCTGCGCAAATAACGGCGACACCGTCGTCACCACTCTGCCACATCCCCCCCCCTGGTGGCGCCAACCCCCCCACGGACGCTATCAACCACCAGGGCCCCCCTCCACCAGGGCCCCCTTCCACCAAAGCCCCCCTCGGGAAGGGCCCCCCGTGGCAAGGGCCTCCCTCCATCACCATGCTCTGAACCGACTACTCCACATGGGGGTGGGGGGCTAACCGAGTGGTTTGGGGTGAAGGGGCACGAGTCGCCCCCCCCCCGTCCGTCTACCCTCCACCCCTGCCAACATGC